ACATAGCGAAAGAGCGAGACAACAAATACCGCAAGGATAGGCGTGCACTGATTCATATAGTGAACACTAAGGGAGGTTCAAGCTCCTTCCAACCTTGCCATGTGTCTTCAATCGTGTCGGTGGCGCTAATTTGGCAGCTGCATACCTAGCAACTTCATTCGCGTAAGGAACGATCGACTTGATCTGATCGTGGGATAAGCCTTTAAATCTCCCTGAGTTATTTTATTCAAAACGGTTATTGACTTCGGTGGATCATCTATCAATAGTGCTGCACGCTAGCCCAATAGATTGTAAAATCAGACTCCCATAAATAATTCATTAATATTTACCGTGAACATTGATTGATCAGCAATGCGATATGTTCAGGTTTTTCGAGAACTCGATCCGTCTTTTCCAAACGTTCGAGAGATTGCAGCCAATGCAAGTCTATGTTTCGTGAACGCTGATGAAATGTTCGACTTACCACGACCTATCATACATAAAGCCATCTACATCGGCGGTTTAGGGATTAACGAACCAAAACCGCTCGACAAGGTATGAGACGTCCTCGGTTGCTATCCAAAGAATTCCACTCAAGGTTGTATTGTAGAAGTTTTCCGCTCTCATGGAGAAAGGCAACAAGGGTGTCATTATCGTCTCCTTAGGCACGATCGCTCCATTCCATGCTTTTCCCGATGCTACCAAAGCAGCATTCGCTTCAGTGTTCAGGTCGATGTCTGACTACCATTTCATTTTGAAAATCACAAAAGGTAGGATTCATCAGTCTTTTTCTAGAGGCTGTCAAAAATTTCGAAGAGGGCAGCATGAAGTGGGCACACATACATATGTTGAAAGATCGAGTGATCCGCGTTGTTCAAGCTGGTGAGATGAGCGGAGCATTCACCTCCCACTCAAGGCGTCATTTGAATTCCTTATTCGTATAAGTAATGGCCTCCATGGGCAACTAATACAACTTGTTAACATTTTCATTTTTTTCTCGCTGAAGAATAGGGTACCAACTAGCCTTTCTGAGAGAAAAGGTTCGGAAAGGCATGGAGGGATTTGCCCACGAAGAGCATTGGAGAATACCGGAAAACTCTTACATTCTTTCCCAACATGAACAATTCACTTGCGTGGCGTTAAAGGCGGGGCATGGAAATAAGTATGCCTCGGACAAGCCACGTATAAGGCGACGCAATGAAAGAATCCGATCGAAGCATTCGATTTTGGATTAGATGGACAAAAAATCAATAGAATAGGATGTAGGACAAGATAGGAATAGTACATAGAAGTGTGAGATGTCAGTTTAATAAGTCAAGATCTCAAAAGACTTTCTAGTGACAGTACTCCGTGAACCAGGAAGCGATCCTGCCGCCAGCATTTGTAACAGATTTCTGGTGAGAATTTAATCGCGAAGCAGTCCATTCGATGTTTACGAAAACAAATGCAAATTTTTGTTCTTTTCGCTTATCGTGAGCGATGGGTCTCAAGCCAGTGATTTATAGATGAGATAGAATCATGATCTTTCCGAGAAGGATTCCTTCAAAAACCAAGGTTGAGATTAAAGGCAAAAGTCGGGCTCAATAAGGGGGTATTATGGCGATTGGAACTGAGTATAGA